CGCACAGCCCGCCTGGGAAGGCCGGGCCTGGTCCCGAGGAGGGCTTCCGAGGCCTCGCGGGGCCGCTGCTTGGGCCACCGCGGGGGCCGTTGGTGCCGACCTTCCCCTCCGGCCCGCGCCCCTCCTTGGCGTCGGGGCGCTTCAGCTGGCACCTGCCTGGACGGGAGGGCGGCCCTGCTCTCCGGGGTATTCGCCCTGTGAGCTTTTCAGGGCCCCACTGGGCCCTGAGTTGCCGTTGCAAAATGGACAGCCACGTCAAACAAACAAACAAAATCAAGCAGGCTGTAAAATTGTGGGCATCACTGCTGGCTAAATTGTTGCCCTACGTAAATGCCACAGGCACAATGCCGCTATGAGGCCCTTGGCAGAGCAGTCCCAGTTGTCACAAAGGCAACGAATTACATCTAAATAGTTCCTACCTTAAGAACCTAACTGGACATCCCAGTTGCTCTTTTCTCTCAACTATTTCAATTTCCTGCTGGAGAATCAGGAGAAACAAATAATGTAACTTCCCACCCTCCGAAGCAGACTCCTTCTGCCCTATGGTTTCACCTTGCTCCTTTGTGCTCCGAGAAGGAGGGGAGGTCTTACAAATCCTTTACGCATCTTTGTGGTTGTGGATGTGGAAGCTGCTCTGGGTAGACACCCTGAGAGTAAACCGTGTTCCACTTAAACACCTGACCTTTGGGATGACACAAGATTGCTTCAGTGTATAGATTAATTATGTCATTTGTTTTAAGGACTTTTTTTTAATTCCTGATTCTTCTCTCACTTACAGAAGTTGTCCTGAAGAGAATCCAAGTTAACCATGCTAAAATGAAAGTCTTGGATTCTGGAAAAAGTTTGAAAGTATTGATAGACTGTCCAAGGATCTGCCCTAGATCAATATGAATAGTTTAAAGAATTGGGAATGTGTTTCCTGACATGCTCCCTCACTGATGTTAAAATAGCAGCAGCAGAGACATCAGGGCTTAGTTTAAAATGTTATTATATAAAAGGGGGAGATATTTTCAGCTCAAGTTTAAAACTCTACCAAAGTAAGACTCTGTCCCAGATTTTATATGGGTTGAAAACTGAGGTTGGAATCATCTCTTTATCCCACTTCTGGAAACAATATAAAACCATTTTTAAAACAACAGTTGGCGCTTCCACCAATGATTTATCAGTGCTTCAAAGTGTTGGATATCGTTCCATGTTGGCGCTCAGTAATTTACTCCTGCACGTGTCCAATCCCTATGAACCATCTTTTGGAACCATTCTTGCCTGCTTTTCCTCACATGACAATCAACCCAAAACAGCAATAGACCTGTCACATCCATTGAAACCAATATTTCAGGGATCAATATTCCTACTGAATCAGTAGTCTCGAAAAAAAGCAACCAATGGTTTCAGCCTGGATGGAGCTCGATCACCAATCTGCAGACCTCCCACTTGCTTCCTCTCATGGCCCTTGCTTAATCCTCACCAAATCCCCCACCGAAAGGTCAGCTGGATTCCTCCCCCACCCCCTGCAGGGCTTGCTATCTCTTGAGTGATCAATAGAGCTGTGAGACAAAAAAATCAAAGTGGTCATTTAGTGGGTTGTAGAAACCAGGTGGGCAGGAACCAGGTGGGAGGGAGCTCTTCAGACCTGCATTGCTTAGAAACAGGTTCTGGAAAGAAATGAAGTTCTTGTTTCTCCCTCAGAAAAAGCTTTGTCAGCCTGGGCGTTTCCACACGCACTCCTCATAGCAGCCTGGGGAGCAGAGTCTTTGATGGCCGACCAACTCAGGGAAGAGTGGATGGCAACCGAAAGACTTACACAGCATTGAAAGGAGAAATGCACATGGATTATCTAGTAAGGGACTGCTGATATGCGTTCCTTGCTTTAAAAAGTTGTTCATCTGATTAAGTTGAATTTAACTCCACATTTGTTTTATATTTTAAGAGATCTTCCCTTTCTCATTCCTGCATATTATTTCAAGCAAATTTAAATACTATTATATAACTCTTTGGCATGAGAGTAACATAACAGAATATTTTAGTCACGGAGATGCAGCTGAGGAGGTGGATCCTAACCCTCCCAGGCTCTCGACTGATCTTATGCTTCCCACTTAAGGGGGTGAAATCCAGAAGACTTTAGACTGATGCACCTGCCCTTGGCTGTATCCCCATTATCTAGCTAGGTATTAAAAACTCCAGGTTTGACAAATTGGGGGGGGGGTCAAAAGAATTATTGAATATGATTGGAAAGCTGAATCAACCCCTGATTTGTGGCAATGGACGATTGCATTGTTGGCAACCAATATCTGCACTAGTGCTTTTTTTTTTTGGCAAAGGGGGAAGGCATAATTTAGTCAACTGTTTGGATTCTTTTTGTTGTAACTGTCCAGGTTTCCCCGCACCTCTCCTGGAGAGCTTTAACATTAATTTTAATATTATATCGTCAACATGGTTGATTTCATTTTTTGTTAGCTCGCTTGTAATAATGACGTAACTTCACAAAAAACCAAAGCCAGTGATAAGAGGGGCCAGGAGGACTTCTGAGGGAGTGCGTTGACACAACCGGCACTCCTGCTGGGTGCAGATTCTTCTGGGGACCCCAACTCCAGCTGGGAGGGTCTTGCACTGGTAGTTGAAGAGTGCTTTAAAACACAGGAATAACTTTTCTGAAACTTTCTTTCAGGAAAGAGCAGTTATGAAAGAATTAGAAACCAGCCAGGAAGGATGAACTGAGGTTTTCTTTTTCTCTGCTTCCTTTGGGAGCTCCCAGTTTTTACCCGTTCTTCCAGTTGAGAATCCCATGAGGTCCCCAAAGACTGGACAGAAGTGCCTGAGGACACCCCACCAAGGTTGTATCCACCATCCCTTGGACGGCCCCTGCTGCTTTGGCGCTATGTGAAGGGAGAGGCTTTTCCACAGGCTCCTTCCTTCTGGGGTTTCCTTCACAGGTCTAGAACTTATGTCCCTTCAATGTGGCTTCTCAGTGGCTGATACCCTGCAGGAGTCTTTGGACCTCTTTGGAGCCTGGGTACCTGAAGCGTCCTGGGATGGCATCTCTGAGGCACATCTGCCTCCTGCCCCAGGAACCACGGTGGGGATGGGCAGCAGATGAGTTGCACTCTTGAACTGGCAAGCGTTCTCTTCTTTCTCTCATGGGTGCCCTCACTCGCATCGCAGTCTCCAAGCGCCACCCGGGGTGACCCTCAGGACCCGCACAAGGCCACCTTCTCCAGCAGGGGTGGGGGCTTCCTTTGCAGCAGCCAAGCCCCGGTCTCCTGAAAGGGGCTCTGCCTTGCCTTGCCTTGCCTCTCCTCTGAGAGGGACTCCCCAGACAGATCCTGGAGCCACCAGGGCAGCCATGGGCTCTGGCTGGCAGAGAGCTTGAAATGCAGAGAAGCAACTGCCCTTAAAATGGGGTCTTTCAAGCTGCCTCAATGAGATGCTGCTGTGATGGTGGGGATGCTGGGGGCCTGCCTGCGTGCGTGTGTGTGTGTATGTGTCCAAGAGAGGGTGAGTGTGCAGGCTTAGTTAAGCCTAATGTGTTTAAAAGCTTTAATATTGATGGCCTGTCAACTTTGTCCTGATTCTTTGCCTTTCAGTTAAAAGGTTTTTGTTGTTGTAGCTTATGCAGTTGCTCTGTTGCTATGGAAACATGACATCAAAATGACGTTTCTCTGTTTAAAAGCTTTTAACTAAATTCCAGCCTGTCAGATGTAGGCCCCATCTTGTGTGCTCAGCTCCCCGCCGTGGCAAAGAGGTTTCAGGCTGTCGTCGCAGCCTGGCGGTTCCTGTGCCGCCTGGACCGCTTTTAAGAGCCCTCTGAGTGCCTCGCCATGGCGGCAGCCCCGGCCCCCGGCTACCTCGTCTCCCCGCAGAGCGAGAAGCACCGCCGGGCCAGGAACTGGACGGATGCGGAGATGCGGGGCTTGATGCTGGTCTGGGAGGAATTCTTTGACGAACTCAAGCAAACGAAAAGGAACGCCAAAGTTTATGAGAAAATGGCCAACAAACTCTTTGAAATGACGGGGGAAATTCGCCACGGAGAGGAGATCAAGATAAAAATTACCAACATGACATTCCAGTACAGGTAAGCCTTGACCGCTAAAAGATGCCCTACCCTCTGCAGGCCTTTCCGCGGGATCCGTCTTTCTGGAAGTGGGATTTCGGGGCAGCCGGTACTGGGCTCGGCCGCTCTCCTTGTTCCAGGCGAAGTGGTACCAGGAGCCTTCTCTGGGGAGTGGGAAGGGGAGCCCGAAAGCAGCCTTGGCACGGGCTGTTCCAAGCCCTGGCAGGAGCTGAAACGTGCCATGCGAGCAAGGGTCATGCAGATGGTTGCACAATGAGGTTCCTCAGGGTAAAAGCAAGCCCAGCAAAGTGAAACCCTTTCCCAGGGGACCTCTCCACCTCGCCCCTGCCAATTCGGCTCCCTCCTGGAGACTGAAATCAGGCCTGCCTCCCCAGGCCGTGACACGTGCTCCTGGCATTGTCACCAGCCTGAGCAAATGAGCCCGTGCCTGAGAAATCACTCGGGGGGGGGGGGGGGGGGGGGGGGGGGGG